GGGGGGGGGAGATACTTGTCTTTTTTTTTAAAAAAAAATCTTTATTTCAGAGAGAGGAAGGGAGAGAAAGACAAACATCAATGATGAGAGTCGTCACTGATTGGCTGCCTCCTGCATGCCCCCAGCTGGGGATCAAGCCCACAATCCAGGCATGTGCCCAGACCGGAGTTGAACTGCAATCTCCTGAATCCTAGGTCGATGCTCAACTGCTGAGCCACACCCGGCAAGGCATGATACTTGTCTTGAGTGATGACTTCTAAGAGCTATGCTCTAACTAAAAAACTAGAAAAATCATTTACCTTTTTCGAGAAGTTGCAAAACTGAAATGGCTGGTAACGAAATGTGGTGTTAGCAACTGTGCTGCTGAACACTGACAATACTTATCTCCTCTGGGGAGAACTAGACACACCAGTCCCAGCCAGAAGGGCCGACAGGCAACCTACTCAGTACCTCTTCCTGCACACTGAATTTTGAGTAAATCACAAAGGAGAGAGAAAGGATTAGAAACAAAAGTGCTGGAGGCAGGCGGCAACATATCTATTTTACATACAAGGACACGAACGACTCAGGTTTCTGACCTGCCCTAGAGTTCAGGAACCAGTCCTTACAGAAGAAAAGAAAAGAAATGACACGGCAGATCAGAAGGGTTTTACAAGAGCTGGGTAGGGCTGGGACAACTTCGCAAAGTGCCTCCCATCCCTCCTTACTGGGACTCCAGAAAGGAAAACATAATTCACCAGCTGCCTCCCCCCAAGACTGCAAATATAACATTTTTTTCAGGCCAACTGGAATCAAGCTGTTGGTGATGGTCCCTTCCAGATCATGGCTAGGGAGAGCCCAAACTCAGATCTGAATGTGTGTAACAGGTAAGAAAATCCTGAAGCCCACCCCCCCACACACACACTCCCCCCTGCAAGGTGGTCTCAGTCTCCCCTCAACAATCACACTAAAGGTATCCGGTTTTTCTCGTTAAACAATAAAGCAATGGCCGCCTTAGTGAGCCTCACCATGTGCTACCTCCTTAATGCACCACAGTACCCCAGTTCAGAGTTGTTCTGAAAATTAAATGAGACACGCATGGAGAGCACCTGACAAAGTACCCAGTAGATGTCTGTCACCTTTACTTTTCATGCTAACGACTACGTTAAGCAGTTATTTCTGAGAAAGTAAATCACTCTAGATCCTTCAGGGAGTAAACGGCGGAGGTCAAATCGAATTCAGCTCAATCTCGCCGTTCAAACACATGCCCTGCCCGCGAGGGGCACCTCCTCTGCCCTCTCCACGCTGCTGCTCGCATGACCCAGGCGGCTTGGCCGTTAGGCCACTCGGCGGTGAGCCCCTAGCTCGGCTCTCAGGCCCGGGCCCGCGGAGTTCGCCATGACACCCTCTGGCCACCCGCTCCGCCACCCCAAACATTCGGCCGTATGTGGGTGCCAACTAGG